TCATCACTACTGGACATTACATCATCACTACTGGACATTACATCATCACTACTGGACATTACATCATCACTACTGGACAATACATCATCACTACTGGACATTACATCTCACTACTGGACATTCACTATGGACATTACATCATCACTACTGGACATTACATCATCACTACTGGACAATACATCATCACTACTGGACAATACATCATCACTACTGGACATTACATCATCACTACTGGACATTACATCATCACTACTGGACATTACATCATCACTTATGGACATTACATCATCACTACTGAACATTCATCACTGGACATTACATCATCACTACTGGACATTACATCATCACTACTGGACATTACATCATCACTTCTGGACAATACATTCTATCATCACTACTGGACATACATCATCACTACTGGACATTACATCATCACTACTGGACATTACATCATCACTTCTGGACATTACATCATCACTACTGGACATTACTGAACATTACTGAACATTACATCATCACTACTGGACATTACATCATCACTACTGGACATTACATCATCACTTCTGGACATTACATCATCACTACTGGACATTACATCATCACTACTGGACATTACATCATCACTTCTGGACAATACATCATCACTACTGGACATTACATGGACAGAGGTTTTACAGCTGAAAGAAGATGAGAGACAAACTGTGATGTGACCCTGATGTCTCTGTATTATGGGCTTTATGCCATTGTTGGGTACATTCCATTATACATCTATAGAGTCTAATGGAAAGTTATCCTTTCTTCGAGTTGATTAATTTTTTTTCTCTTTTGTAAATGTAATGCCCTCCAGGTTTGGCTAGATAGGCTTTGTCGTTGTTGTTTTTTTTTTTTTTTTGGATAGAGGCTGAGCAGCAGCCTGGGATGAGTCAGCCTGGGAGTGAGGCAGGAGTTCACCTCAGGACAGGCTGAGAAGCTCTACAGGTTGGGACCTCTGGAGCCCTCCCACCCTTCCAGAAACTGAAGAACTTTCTGGAAGAGGGTGGAGGAGGGGAGGAGGCCAAGATATGCATGTTTGAGGGACATTGGCCAACCCCCTAGTGAGAGGCTGGGCATGGTGTCCAGGGCAACCCTCAAATATGACAGAGCCTGGGGAGCAAGGGGAGACAGGTGGAAGATGGACTGAGAGGAAGGCTGGAGTGAGGAGCCTGGGAGGGGGCCCCAGGGAGGGGAGCCTACCTACAGGCTGGATGCTGGACAGGAGAATCTCTACTTCCTCTCCGTCTTCTAGGGAGGACAGCCTGTTAGTCGGGAAGGAGACAGCCCCGCAAAAAGCCTGAAAGTAGCTAGGAACCCACCACACTGACAGGACAGGACAATGTGAGTACTTCCACCCCCCCAGATAAGGGGAAGGCGGTGTCAGGAATGGACTTGCCAATAATGGTGGGACTCACCTGCCTTGTGGGCTGCAGTACCAGGGCTGGCCAGCGGGTGCTCTCAGCAATCAGAGACTCAACCCTGCAGTCAGCCAAACACCTGAAGCTGATTACGGAGGTGTATTTAAGGGATGGCCAGACCTGCAGTCTGTGCCTTGGTGTGTGTTTTTCTATGGGCCCCTGTATCTTGTTACCTGCATTCCTGTTCCAGTTCCTGTTCCTGCCTGACTGACTTGTTGCCGACCCTGCTTGATCCTGACCTCTGCTGACTTCTCCTGTTTGATCCCTGGCTTGTGACCCCGACCATTCTCTGCCTGACCCCGTGTACCTACCTGCCGTTAGTTGCTGTGCCCGGCTTGTGACCTGACTACTCTCTGCCTGCTCCTCCTGTTCCTACCTGCCCAATTGTTATTGACCCGGCCTGCCTGACTACGCTTGCATTGTATGTATTGTTATCTGTGGTTGGTTTGGTTCGTTTGCACTTTGTTTAGGTTTAGTTTTGCACTGCGTTTTGTATTGTTAGTGTTAATAAATTATATTGTTTATAACATATCTGAAGCCTGCGTTTCCCTGCGTCAGTTCACATACCTCTGGTCATACCCGGAACCCTGACAGGCGGTCAGGTGTAATACCCAACTAGTCTTCATCTGGGACTGCTAAATTGCAAACTTCTAGGACCCCTTGCTCAGGGATACCCTCAGAACAGATGATTGAAGAGGAGGATTCATCCAGTGGTCTGAGGAGGTACACCAAAAAAAAGGGAACAACTGCGCTTCTTAAAGGGACAGAGCTAATTTTTTTTTGCTAGTTCACATTTTTGTACATAGTTGCTAAAAAGTTTTTCCTCACGTTCTACAGTTCCTTGGGCATCCCATGCACCCCTAGACCCCATCCAAGTAGTTAACCCCTTAATAAAAACAACTAAAAACCAGCTCAAGGACTGTTTATGGACTCTGAAGGTACAAGTGTTGAGAAATGCGCGTTGCCTGGCCCTTCAGAGCATAGGGGACCCAAACCAAATCCAGTGGCCCTTACGAGGGTAGTGCTAAATAAACAATTTAAGAAAGCTTCATTGTCATTTTCTTTCAATATCATTTTGATTTGTTGTCGCGGGGCCCTAAAACGGCATAGGGCCCATAGGTAGGTGCCTAATCTGCCTGTTTTGTACTCCAGCACTGACTTTCCCAAACCTAAGAAAGCTGCAATCTCAGGTGTATTCACAGTCAGCCGTGTACTTTGAGGGATAACAAGAGATTTTTACAAACGTGATTTCTAATAGCGAGGGCGCAGATTGTGTTCTCTGATTCCTGGAGAAGATTACCGCTGACGCTTCACGTGTCAATCTCATTGCTATCAGCACTTATGAGTTAAAAGCTGTTTTTAGCGAGTGCTCAATCTTTAATTAAGCAGGCTATTATAAGCGCATTTTAATTAAGGGCATATTCATTTCCCCCTCATTAATCTAAGCGCTGCCTTTTGAATGGGAAGTAGCAGCGGTGTACACAGGAGCGCAGAGACGGATCCCGCCATTCATGGCAGAGGAATGGAGTGTGGATGGACTGTCTGGAGTCCGGGAGGACGGATGATGAATGGAGCTCGGCATTGTTCTGGATGATCGTACACAATTAGAAGAGTGTGTGAATTCAATGCGTCACCCTCAAAGGCCAATAGAATAATGAGGAGGACTGCGCTGGTTTGGAAGCTCTACGGATTTAACCCATTCATATTGCTCTGTTTTGTTTCCATTCTCACCAGGCCCAGACCGGGACAAAAAGAAAAGGCCCGGGCATTTTAGGCAGAGCAGTCAAGGGACCGGGGGGTGGGGGGTTGTATTCACGGAGTTGGTCCTCCTCACTGTAATGTAAAGGGGCACTGTGATATGAAAGGGAACTGCACTGTAAAGGGGCACTGTATTGATTACAGTGACGATTTACAGTGCAGTCCCCCTTACATTACAGTGCCTCTACCAATCACAGCCCCTCATCACAGTACCCCTTGCAGTTATGCCCCCCATTTCTCTCTAATCTGAGTACCCCATTTTATTCTCTGCCTCCCCTGCATAGTCCTATCTTCAGCAAAGAGACATCCCCATATATTTGGCAAAGAGACAGCCCCATCCAGCAAAGAGAAATCTCCATCCAGCAAAGAGATATCCCCATCCAGCAAAGAGACAGCGCAATCCAGCAAAGAAACATCCCCATATAGCTAAGAGACATACCTATATAGCAAAAAGACAGTCCAATCCAGCAAAGAGACATCCCCATAACAAGGAGACATCCTATTCCAGCAAAGAGACAGCCGAATCCACCAAAAAGACAGTCCAATCTATCAAAGTGACAGCCCAATCCACCAAAGAGACAGTCCTCATATAACAAAGAGATGGCCCAAACCAGCAAAGAGACATCCCTATAAAGCAAAGAGACAGCCCAATCCACAAAAGACAGCCCAATCAGCAAAGAGACATCCCCATTCAGCAAAGCAAAGACAGCCCCAATCCATCCAGCAAAGAGACAGCCAATCCCATATAAAGAGAAAGAGACAGGCCCAAAAGAGACATCCCCAGCAAAGAAAGACAGCCGAATCCCCAAAAAGACAGTCCAATCTATCAAAGTGACAGCCCAATCCACCAAAGAGACAGTCTCATATAACAAAGAGATGGCCAAAGCAAAGAGACATAAAGCAAAGAGACAGCCCAATCCTACAAAGAGACAACCCAATCCAGCAAAGAGACATCCCCATTCAGCAAAGAAACATCCCCATATAGCAAAGAGATGGCCTAATCCAGTAAATAGACAGCGCAATCCATCGAAGAGATAGTCCCATATAGCAAAGAGATGGCCCAATCCAACAAAGAGACATCCCTGTATAGCAAAGAGACAGCCCAATCCTACAAAGAGACAGCCCAATCCAGCAAAGAGACATCCCCATTCAGCAAAGAGACATCCCCATATAGCAAAGAGATGGCCTAATCCAGTAAATAGACAGTGCAATCCATCAAAGAGATAGTCCCATATAGCAAGGAGATGGCCCAATCCAGCAAAGAGACATCCCTGTATAGCAAATAGATGTCCCAATCCAGCAAAGAGACAGCTCCATATAGCAAGGAGACAGCCCAATCCATCAAAGAGACAGCCCAATCCAACCCACCAACCCACACACACACACACACACACACACACCGCCAATACAGAATCGGATGTTTGGCTGTAACACACACAGGATCAGTGCAGGGTTCGATGTGTTCACCTTCCTCCCCTGTGCAGCTGTCAAGGTGTGCTGGCTAGTGTTAGGAGAGAGCCTACTGTTGTTCCTTCAGTGCAGTGTATTTCCAGCGGCCGGCCTGGCTGGAGCTCTTCTGCACCTCCTAGTTTGCAGTCAGGCAAATACCGTTCTCCTGGCAACCGCCAAAACCCAGACACGTCCATCGGATTGCCAGACAGAGAAGCGTGCTTGGTCCCTCCAGAGAACACGTCTCCTCTGCTCTAGAGTCCAGTGGCGGCGTGCTTTACACCACGGCATCGGACGCTTTGCATTGCACTTGGTGATGGAAGGCTTGGATGCAGCTGCTCGGCCATGGAAACCCATTCCATGAAGCTCTCTACGCTCTGTTCTATTGACTCTGCAGACAGTTGGCGACTTCTGCACACTGTGCGCTTCAGCATGCGCTGACCCCGCCCTGTCATGTGACGTGGCCTACCACTTGGTGGCTGAGTGGCTGTTGTTCCAGTGGCTTCCACTTTGTTATAATCCCACTAACAGTTGAGCGTGGAATATTTAGTAGCCAGGAAATGTCACGGATGGACTTATTGCCCAGGTGGCCACCTATCATGGGACCACACTTGGAGTCACTGAGCTCCTGAGAGCGACCCATTCTTTCACCAATGTTTGTAGAAGCAGTCTGCATGCCTAGGGGCTTGATTGTATACCCCTGTGTCCATGGAGGGGATTGGAACACCTGAATCACATGATATGGAGGGGATTGGAACACTGAATCACATGATATGGAGGGAATTGGAATATCTGAATCACATGATATGGAGGGGATTGGAACACCTGAATCACATTTTATGGAGGGGATGGGAGCACCTGAATCACATGATATGGAGAGGAGGATTGGAACACCTGAATCACATGATATGGAGGGGATTGGAACACCTGAATCACATGATTGGGAGGGGATTGGAACACCTGAATCACATGATATGGAGGGGATTGGAACACCTGAATCACATGATTTGAAGGGTGGGCCCAATACTTTTGACCAGGGGCGGAGTGACTACTCATGGGGCCCCTGGGCAATAGGGGATCATGGGGCCCCTGTGTCCTTGCCCAAACTCAAAAAAGCCTATGAAAAAGGTACCAGGGGCATTCTCATGGGGCCCCCTACTGACCCCGGGCCCTTCGAGAAGTGCCCGGGGTCAGTAGGGGGCACTTCCAAATGGTCAGTCCGCCCCTGAGTCTGGCAATATAGTGATTTGGTGATCCTCTTGTAGTATAGCCTCGATCTTAGCAGGAACCATCGATGCATCACTCTCTTTTAGTCTCATCCAGGCTAAGTACGGGGGAATTCCACGCTTTCACAATTCTGGCCACCGGTGGTTCATACACTATCACAACAGATTATATTTTACAGCACGTCAGATAAATATTCCACAGTTTGCAGTCGTCGCCCCCACCCTCCAGCGTATTACTCATTTTTATCTCTTATGCAAAGTGTATTTCTCAAGCCCTTGCATGTTGATAGAGTCAAGGGAGCCCAACAACAGATAAATGATACATTTTGTGGGTTCAAATCCTCAATTCTTCAGGTTGTGGGAAACAATAAGAACAATCCCAGCGACATCCTCCCCGAACGAAAGAAAAATAGTATCGTGCACCACTCTGCCAAACCATACTGGGATTCCCACAATAAATGAATCCCCCCACAAAGGAGGAAGAGTCCGGCTGCTCGGTCTGATGGAGGGACACACTGGTACCATCATAGGACATTACGTTGCTATTGCTGTGCTGAGAACTATGCGGTCCCTGTATTATAATCCAGGCTCTTTCTTTTATTTGGGGATTAGATTAATATTTTGGCTTCATGAAGATTCATAAGACTTTAGAACTACACTTCAATCAAATCAAGACTCAAGAATACAAGGAAAAAACGAATTCTCCTGCGCTCTGGGACTCAGACAGGTGGCGAACAGATGGAGCCAGGCCTGGAGGGATCGTCCACCAATGCATAAAGGGCTGTGCGGCTCCAAAACAAGGCTGGGGAAGCCCAATCAAACACTGCAGCTCTGAGGAAGAAGGGACCCCCTTCGAAACGCGTCAGCTGTACTGAACACCCACTCCCCTGCTGGGACTCATGTTATCTTCAAGTCCCTGTGAGGACTTACATGCCTGATTTTATTCGCTGTTTGTGAGTATATTTTTTACAATTAATAAATTTTGGTTACTGAGGTAATGCGCAAGGTTGGTGCGCTTCTCGTTTTTATTTTATTTCATTCTGCAGTCAAGAATACAAGGAGCATGACCTACCTGCCTGGCATTGCTATAATGCATCGGTCCACCCCAATCTTCCCACCAGCAATCTGGTGATCCTGGAACACGCCTCCTTCTGATGCCGGGACACACACTGCAGACTTTCTACTGTGTCTCACACAAAGAGAACCTGATATCAAATGACCGGTACTAGGGGGTTGATGTACTAAGACTGGACAAATCTAGTGCAGCTCTGCATAGAAACCAATCAGCTTCCAGGTTTTTTTGTCAAATCTTGAACAAGCTGAAGTTAGAAGCTGATTGGCTCCCATGTACAACTGCACCAGATTTTGCAGTCTCCAGTTTTAGTAAATCAATCTCTAGAAGTCTGGATGTGATTGGTGATACAAAGGGAAAATGATAAAGAACAGGCTCAAGCAGATAATCTGCTACTGACCCTGCGAGATGGTCTGTGAAAACCTGACAGCGTTGCAGAACCTGTACAAACTTTCTGATTGGTTACCTTTCACCTGTTTCCTGGAATTGCTCTTTAACCCCCTTAGCGGTTTTCCCGAGTGTAGCTCGGGGTAAAAATTTCAATACCAAGAGCGGTAACCCCGAGCTACACTCGGGCTTACCATGCGGCGTTGCTCAGGGGGTCCCTGCAGCACTTACCTTGTCCTTCGCTCCCGCAATGTGTCCCCTGCAGCGTCCCGGGCCATCTCCTCCGGCCGATGCCGGCATCCGGCTTCCGTGTTCCGGTCCCTGTGACATCGGGACATACGGGGGCCGGAACCGGCGGGAAATTTGAAATTTTAAAAAAATGTCATTTTTGCTGTCATTGCTGTTTCAATGCATTTCACATACATTTTTGTCCCCACTGCTTTGTCCGGCGCTCTGCCTGCATTTTGACTGTTCTTTCTGCCTGGAAAACTTAGAAAAGTCCATGGCGTCCAAAAAGCGTCCCTTTAGGTCAGACGCGGTTTTAGACCGGCTAGAGAACAGCGATAGTAAATCAGAACCACTTGCAGAATTGAGTGATAATGATTGGTGGGGGAAATTCCTCATCAGACACTGAAAATGATTCTGCGACTGAGCTCAGCGATGGGCCAACTTGGCGCTCTATTTCACATTTTCAGTGTTTTTGGGTTTGATTATATTATTGAATTACATTTATTATTATATTATTATTTTTTATGATTATTTATTAAATTATAATTTATGATTTCGTGTTTCAAGTTTTATCCTCTCCGGGATGTTTACTAGACTCTTGTCCGGACAGATTTCAGGGAGTTATTCCTAAGAATTACAGCCTACAATACAAAAACTACATATTTCCATGCAAAAAAATGGTACCGCTTTCAGCACAAAAAAATCGGAAAGAATCATACCGCCGAGGAGGTTAATCATCTGTAGTGCCCACCCCCGAGGGGGCCTCTATAGATTACCTCAGGTCTCCCTTCTAAAAGTACAGAGACTGCCAGACCCAAGCAAAGATCCATGCACACCGACAAATGTAGGCTCAGTACTCTAGAGGATGTCTTTTTGTGAATTTATAGCAAAGAAAACATGAATAGGAGAGGGCAGACGGTGCAGGATACTCCATAATAGAAGAAATTAGCAGGAGAACAAACTTTAGACAGAATCCTCTGGTAACAGTTTTTGCTAGGGGTAGGAAGGAATGGCCAGCTAATCTGGAACTCTATGTGAGCAGTCCCAGGCCTTACAGCAACCTCGGGCACATACATCCCCAGCACATGCCCACCTGGGATTCATAATCCAAGTCTATCAAAGTCCAAGGACAGCTGTCTACCACCCATGCAATGCTCTCCAGTGAGGAAGAAAAAAAGGGTCCTTCTCCAGACCAGTGTCCACAGGTAATATCCTCCAGGAAATGTCTCTCAATCAGATCTCCTTCAGGCCCTGAGCCAACCACATACTAAGGCCCAAACAGCAACTCCACTACACAGGCTGCCCCCCAGGATCAGTAGCCCCGAGAGAAGAACACACTGAACAGGCCTTCCAAGTCTATCAAAGTCCAAGGACAGCTGTCTACCACCCATGCAATGCTCTCCAGTGAGGAAGAAAAAAAGGGTCCTTCTTCCAGACCAGTGTCCACAGGTAATATCCTCCAAGAAATGTCTCTCAATCAGATCTCCTTCAGGCCCTGAGCCAACCACATACTAAGGCCCAAACAGCAACTCCACTACACAGGCTGCCCCCCAGGATCAGTAGCCCCCTGAGAGAAGAACACACTGAACAGGCCTCCCAAGTCTAACAATGTCCAAGGACAAGCTGTCTACCACCCATGCAATGCTCTCCAGTGAGGAAGAAAAAAAGGGTCCTTCTACAGACCAGTGTCCACAGGTAATATCCTCCAGGAAATGTCTCTCAATCAGATCTCCTTCAGGCCCTGAGCCAACCACATACTAAGGCCCAAACAGCAACTCCACTACACAGGCTGCCCCCCAGGATCAGCAGCCCCATGAGAAGAACACACTGAACAGGCCTCCCAAGTCTAACAAAGTCCAAGAACAGCAATGCTCTCAGAGGCCTTCTCCAGACCAGGAGAAATGTCTCTCAATCATGGCCCTCAGAACACATGCTAAGGCCCAAACAGCAACTCCCTAAAGGCAACCTTCATCATCTCCCCAACCACCTCCAGGGTGCCCCTACCCAAGGCTGAGAGAAGATAATTATTCATAACTTCAGTGGGCTGACCCTCCTACGCTTTTTCCAGAGACAGGCAAGAGTAATCAACCACTAAGCTTATGGAAACCTGACAGACCAAAGATCAGATCGCTGCTCCACTGAGTACAGCAGTGCCAAAAACTAAAATGAGGGCAGGGGGCGCTACACCTCTAACAGTGCCTTACATTTATGGGGGTCTGTTCTAGCGATATCTCTTCAGTAGTTCCCTAGTCCTGCTGTGGCCATTGCAAGGTGAATTCCATTCTCCCTGTTGGATTATTCATTTATTGAGATGAGCAGGGAACAGGGAACACGGAGCACCCCGAGGTGGGAGGTTGAAGCAGAATTAATCGCCACATATCAATCATTTTAAAAATGGCACCCGGGAGCTTTATTCTAGAATGTACTAGTATGCACCTCCCAGTGATCCTCTCCAGCGCTGTGGTGTCAGTGCTCTCAGCTGTCAGGGGGGCTTCCATCTTCCTTCTGGGCTTGGATTCTTCAGCCTTTTGATTGGTCGGGCCACAATGATGTCACTCCCGCACATGTGTACAAGACTCATATCATCACAGCACAGAGCATGCGTGGCTCAGTGTACATAAACGCAGCCAGTCAGGGAGAAGCAGTTAGGGTCTCTTCTGTCATAAAAATCCTACCTGTCCGCTTTTTGTTTTTTATTAGTTTAACTTCACCATAAAGAATCTGGAACTATAGCAAGAAGACCTCACCACTGGTGTCCTCCATGGACATAGAACCTGTTTCACTTGGCTTTTGTTCACTTTAGGCAAATCTATGCGAATGCAAAACTTGCTCGAAGCAGGGCAACTGAAAGTCAGAAAGAGGGAAACTGCAAGTCAGAAGCAGGTCAACTGAAAGTCAGAGAAGGGTCCTGACTGCAAGTCTGAAAGAGGGAAACTGCAAGTCAGAAGCAGGTCAACTGCAAGTCAGAAGGGGGCCAACTGCAAGTCTGAAAGGGAAACTGCAAGTCAAAGCAGGTCTGCAAGTCAGAAGGGGGCAGGTCAAAGAGGGAAACTGCAAGTCAGAAGCAGGTCAACTGCAAGT